AAAACATGATTTATTTATTTACACTTTACTTCCTGTTCGGATAAAACATGATTTATTTATTTAAACTTTACTTCCTGGACACATAAAACACTCATCAATCTGCAACAACAAAAACAGCTCTGGCTTGGAGTTTAGTGTCTGCTAATCCCACCATCTTTTTCTGCCAACAAACAAATCTTACCTTTCGTTGTTAAGAACTGAACACAGCTGTGACAGTCCAACATTTGTTACAGGAATGTCACCAAACATTCATGTGACATGTCTGCAAACTCCCAGTGTGTCTCCAATAGTCTCAGCCCAGTGAGATACTGATTTAAGATTTACTAAATCTACCTACCTACTGACCTAAATTGAGAATCTTTGGAAGAAGCTGAAACATGCCGTCTGGAAAACCTTCAAACCTGAGACAACTGGAGCAGATACCTGCAGAGAGCTGCAGAAGTCTCACTGACAGTTACAGGAATCGTTTGATTGCAGTGATTGACTCAAAAGGTTGTGCAACTAAATCTTAAGTTAAGGGTCCCATCATTTCTGTCCAGGCCTGTTTCATGAGGTTTATTTATTTATTTTTTTATTCTGTTGAAGCCTGGCTGAAAAGCAATGTCAGACTTTCATTTTTTTATTTTTTTAGAATTTTTATTTATTATTATTTTGTCAGATTCTAGTTATTTCTTTGACTATTGTGGGCTTTTCTTTCGTTAAACAAGGGGTACCAACAGTTTTGTCCACGTGTGTAGGATCAGGTTTCAGCATCAGTCCTGAACTGACCTGTCCTTTGGAGAGACTCTCCCATCGGTCAGGGCCCTGAGGCAGCAGAGAGTGAAGCAGCTCCATCCTTTCCCTCAGTGGAGGCAGCAGCATGGTCGCTCCCACAGACAGAGTCTCAATCACAGCCTGAGGAAACAACAGTCAGCAGCTCATTCACATATTTCTGTTTATATGATCACTAAAAATAAAATGTCTGATAACAAATTTAAAAAACACAGAGGTTTCTCAGAGGTTTTACTGATGTTCCTAACCTAACATCTTTAAGCAGGACTTTAAATGGAGTTACTATGGTCAGAACCAAATGTATGTTTCAGTTTGATGACAAACATAAATAAAAAATAAAATAAAGATTTCTTCATGTTATATGTGGGTATGTAAATACTAACAACTGATTCTGTTTTGGAATCAGCCCACAGCTAACTCCCAGCTTAGGAGAGTAATGGACAAACATGAGCCTAAAGATCCTGACTTTCAAAAGAGCATCAGACCCTAATTCTCCCCCTGGTCCACTAAATTTACTGAATGGACAAAAACAAAATAGGTAAGTTATTTTGGGGCTTTGTGCTTCTTATGAAGTAAACATTGAAAGTAAGGCACAAAAGGTTGCTGAGAGCTTAGAGAATCAAACAGACCTTACTCCTCATCATAGTGCAAAGCTGTGGTACTCAGTAACTTCTGAMWCTATATAAATAAACTRAATTGAATTGAATACACAAAGCAGACAAGATGCTGGGGATGCCATGATCCAGGGTCAACATGTGTCAATGGGCTTGTACCCCGATGATAACTGCTCACAGATCTAGTGTTGTGTAGGAGTTRTTCTGTCAAAAGATTCATCTTGTACCTCCTGAATCTCATCAGGCACTGATGCGTCCATCAGTCTGAAGAGCAGGTTCCTCAAAGGYCTGGCCTGCCGACCCAAAATACTCGTGGCCACGCCCCCCGCCAACGCCAGAGCCAGATGATTGGATAAAAGCCGAAGACACAGCTTGAGGAAATTATGATGCTCCCTGCACACAAGAGAAATATTCTTCTTAGGTAGTGACAGTACGTGCAGACAGCTCATGCCTAAATGCCTAAAAGCTCACCTGGAGGAGGGGAAGGGAAGGGGGGGGACGTCACTGTTGATGCCGTCACAGTAGCGCTCAAGGAAGGAGCGCAGGTGAGAAAAGGTGCTTTCTTCAAGGTCCACACAGTACGGCCGGTGCCAGGCCACCACCTGCCTGCAGGGTCAGGGTGAAGAAAAACAACACACCTGATGGTGGACATGTTCAAACTGAAGCATCGACTCTGTTCAGCCGACAAACTGAGGCACCAAACATGAAAACATCAGCTAAAGTTACAGCTGCAAGACAMCAAACATGAAAACATCAGCTAAAGTTACAGCTGCAAGACACCGAACATGAAAACATCAGCTAAAGTTACAGCTACAAGACACCAAACATGAAAACATCAGCTAAAGTTACAGCTGCAAGACAACAAACATGAAAACATCAGCTAAAGTTACAGCTGCAAGACACCAAACACACTAACATCAGCTAAAGTTACAGCTGCAAAACACCAAACATGAAAACATCAGCTAAAGTTACAGCTGCAAGACACCAAACACACTAACATCAGCTAAAGTTACAGCTGCAAGACATCAAACACACTAACATCAGCTAAAGTTACAGCTGCAAGACACCAAACACACTAACATCAGCTAAAGTTACAGCTGCAAAACACCAAACACACTAACATCAGCTAAAGTTACAGCTGCAAGACACCAAACACACTAACATCAGCTAAAGCTAAAGCTGCAAGACACCAAACACACTAACATCAGCTAAAGCTAAAGCTGCAAGACACCAAACACACTAACATCAGCTAAAGCTAAAGCTGCTAGTATCAATAAACGGCCTTGAACCTTCACTGCACTACAGCAAACGTCACAACTCAGTGCAGTGAACACAACCATTGTTGTTGCTGTTTTTCTAACTGAAAATCATCTGGTCTAACTGGTGTGTATTTCAGCTGTATTAGCTGGTGAGCTAACTGCTCACAGTAGTGATCTGTGCTCCAGACTGAAGCAACAGCAGCCAGAGCTCATTGACAGGGTTAGCTCAACGTCTACATAAGGAGAGGAGTTTGTGGGGACTCCACAGGGAGGTGTACCTCAGAGTAAAGCATTAAATAAAGTTATGAACATGAAGTCTGAGTGTTTAGTGCTGCCCTGACAGCAGCTTCAACCTCACCTGTCTCTGGGCAGAGCAGTCCAGGCCAGGCTGTGGGACGTCCCTGCTGAGATCTGTTGAATAGCCACTCCGTCCAGGCCCACCACCTTCTTGGGTTTGGTGATGGGTCCTGTGGAGTTGCCCTGCCCACACTGACCCATGGAGTTGTTGCCCCAGGCGTACACTTCATTGTCTGGATGAATGAGAAGAAACATTAAACCCTGGGACGAAACAACTCTTTACTAAATAAACAGATTTAAATGAACAGGCAGAAAGTTAAATATTAGCTAAAACAAATGTTGAATGTATTTGTTTTACTTCATGCTTATTGCAACAGACTTCAGCAAACACAATCCTACAAAATCAGCAAATGATCATTTCCACAGGGAGTAAAAGAGGATTTAAACTGTTTTCACCTCTGAGCTCTGATAGTAAAACCACAGTTAGAGCTCTACACATGAAAAACTCATGTTTCCTGGAACAGTACCATGAGACAGGGCCAGGCAGTGGCTGTCCCCGATGGAGATGTCCACCACTCGGGTCGTAGCCAGCTCCTCGATCAGTTTGGGTCGCAGCGCTGTAGCTTCAGAGGAACCGCAGCCCAGGCAGGCRCCGCAGCCCCAGGCATACACCTGAGCACAGGTGAGACCGTTTGAAATGAAACAGGAAGGTTTTTAGTTTCTGTTCTTAAATGATTCCAGAGGTGTAGCAGGTGAGGTCCTACCTGTCCTGTGGAGGTCAGGGCCAGAGACGACTGGCTCCCTGCACACACTTTCCTGATGAACATCCCCTGCAGAGCTTCCACCACCTTTGGTTTGTACACTCTGTTGGTGTCACCGTGTCCCAGTTTTCCTGCAGCGCACAACAATCAGCAGAGATACACAACTACAACTCTTAACATTTAAACTTATATTAACCATGTGTGTGTGTGTGTTTGTACCCACCATTGTCCCCTCCTCCGAAGGACCAAATGGTGCGTCCATCTTTAGACAGAGCGATGGTGTGGGAGCTTCCACAGGACACCTCTCCAACGTTGCTGATGTCTTTGACCAGAGTGGGAATGTTGCGGCTGTTGCTGTCGCCGTGTCCTGCGGTCACAAACAAACATCTTTAAAAACTGGAGGCAGAGCGACAGAYCAGCCTCAGACCTAAAAAAACATCAAAGGTTTGATTGATGCATGTTTCTGCAGCTTCACAGCTTTTACAACCAATCAGAGCAAACAACAAACAGAGCACACTCAGACGGTGGGCGGAGCACGTACCTAACCTCCCAAAGTCTCCTTCACCCCAGGTGTAGAGCTCTCCATCCTCACTGACTGCAGCACTGTGTCTGTAGCCAGCAGACACACACACAACCACCTGGCACACACACACACATAAAAACTGTATGACAATAGGAACAACCAGGTGTTTCTCTCTGTAGAGGAGAAAACATCCATCTGAAACCCYAACAGAAACAAATACCTTCTGTTCAATCAGTTCATTTTAAATCTGTTTTCCATTTAAGAACAAAAAGATTTTAGACAACTTTTTTAAATTTCACCAAACTGAGCAGAAACAATTGTTTTCTCTTATTTCTGGATGATTCTCCCAGCAGCAGATAGTTTGCTGACAGGTGAGGAGGTCCGGACCACCACAGAATTCATCAGAGTTTAACTCTCAAACTGAGGAAGAATAAAAGAGCTTTAACTTTTTAACATCTGAAGATATTTAAATGGATCCACGATTAGTTGTAACATTAAACTTTATTTGATAAACAAATATTTTAACTGTAAAATAAAGACTGTAAAAATACTGTAGCTGTTTAGTTTTTTATCATTTTTAAAAACATATTTTAACACAGACGGAGCCATTTTATTTGCACACAAAGCATTCTGGGTAAATGATGACGTGGATAGGTCCTCGGTGCGAGGCTGCTAGCGAGCTATATCCACCCTGAAGGTTAATCTTGGACAATATCTGATGATCGACTCTTTTAAATGAAACCAGAGAGCGTTGACAGAGAGGAGAAGGTAGAAATGACTCAGCCTGGAACTGAAAATATGGATGGAGGACAACAGTTTAGCTTGTTTGTCGCGCTAGCACCAAGCTAATACATATAAGGCAATATAGCGTCAGTGCTAACGCTAAAGCTAACAGGCTAATCTGAGGTTGTTCTTCCATGAAGCAGCTCTGTTGTCCTCCATCCATATTTTCAGTTCCAGGCTGAGTCATTTCTACCTTCTCCTCTCTGTCAACGCTCTCTGGTTTCATTTAAAAGAGTCGATCATCAGATATTGTCCAAGATTAACCTTCAGGGTGGATATAGCTCGCTAGCAGCCTCRCACCGAGGACCTATCCACGTCATCATTTACCCAGAATGCTTTGTGTGGAAATAAAATGGCCCTGTCCGTGTTAAAATATACTTTTAAAAATTATAAAAACTAAACAGCCTACAGTATTTTTACAGTCTTTATTTTACAGTTAAAATAAATGTTTATTAAATAAAGTCTAATGTTACAACTAATCGTGGATCCCTTTAACGCACAGTCTGACACAGAGGTGGGAGCCATCTCATGGTCTGAATACAAACACATTAAACCAGGTGAAGTGTAGGGACACAGGGGCAGGTGAGGGTGGGCCTACCTTCCCCTGCAGAGGCCCCTGGATGAGTTTAGGGTACTTCTGCGTCGAGCTGTTCCCGTGACCCAGTTTGCCGTAGTCGCCGTCCCCCCAGCTGAACACCTCGCCCTCCGTGGTGAAGGCCAGCGTGTGGCCGTCAGAGCCTTTGGACGACGACACCTTCTTGATGGCTCGGTGGGGTTCAAAGGTCAACTTCTTGAGCGTTGATTGGTTGTTGGAGTCTCCGAGGCCTAATCTGCCATAGCTGCCCTTCCCACAGGCCCGGACAGAACCATCAGAGGAGATCACAAAGGTGCAGTACTGACCCGCCTCAATCTGCAGAGGAACAAGCAGAGGAGTGATTCTGACCAGTCCACATCAAAAACAAACATTTTTACTTCTCATACAGTTAAACATGTTGTTCAGGTAACTTTTAATTTAATAATCCCATTTCTTTGACAGAACCAAACGAATCTGAACATAAAGGACGTTACCAGGTATAAAGACTTTTATTTTGGTAACAACACTGTCTCTTCACTTCCTTTAAAGATGGTTTCCACGTACCGTCTGTGCGTCGGCGAAGCTGCTGGCCAGCTTTGGCTGCAGGATCTTTTCCTGCGTGCCCTCCACCAGCTGGTGGCTGCTGTTGCTGCCCCACACGTACACCTCGCAGGTTTCAGACACCACGGGGGCCTCACCTGTCTGAATGCTGTCGGGGCTGACGCAGGTACGAGAGTAGTCCGACGCCATCCGACACACCTGGCAGGACACAACAACACACGGAGGAATGAGAGGATGAAAGGACGTGGCAGGTTTTCATGAAGAGAAGCTGTGAGTAAAAATCTGTTTTAACTTCTTACCTCCTCAAACAGGCAGAGCGCCGCCTCGTACAGAGAGCAGAGTCCATCAGGGGTTCTGGTGGGTTCTCTCCACTGGCTGCGATCAGCTGAGGAGCCCTGAGACAGACACACACACACACACACACACACACACACACACACACACACACACACACACACACACACACACACACACA